AAAAACGTCCGCACCAAAACAGAAGAGCGCAAAAAGGCAAAGCAACAATAAAATAGGGCAGCAACAAACAAACAGGCACGTACACCTCCAGTAAACAACAGAGAGAGGGAGGAGGGGGGAGAGAGAGAAGAGAAAGCGTCAGTGGATCCCTTGGAAAGGCATCGTTGCAGTGTCTCCTTCAGTGGAAGTTCAGATACCACAGGAATTGCACGTCTAGTCATCATGCAGTAAAAAAAGGCGAGAGAGAAGAAAGAAAAGTGGAAGCAGCGTGGGGCGTCAGTGGGTCTCTGCACGCCGCTCCAGTGAGGCATTTTGTCTTGTCGAGTGAAGGTGGGGTCACACTGGCGGCAAGCTCATAGCCGTTAGTCGCAATCATCACGCGCACTAGAAGAAGCCGTGCACAGTCCGTCCATCGCAGCCGCTGCTGTTGCATCCCCACGGAGCTGCAGATGTGTGGATTCATGAGTGCCTGCAGTGGATGCATCGAAGCACGCGCATCTCACAACACCTCACGCCAAAAACAAAACACAATGTCAAATTTCAGCCAGCGCGGAGCGCCATTTCCGTGCAGTGCTCCACAGTTACCGTGGTCAGCGCCTGAGCAACCCCCCTTACATAACGGTGACTCCACCAACAGACCGCTCAGAGAAGGCACAAGCAGAATTCCACTACCGCGGCCCTGGAACAAACCAAGATAAGGCCTGCTCGGTCAGAACGGCTCCCTCTTTCCATGCGGCCAGACACCCTTAAGTAAGATCAGCCCACACACCCGTCTTGTTCTTCCGCGGCCTGACCGATTCCCACACTTCACTCATGAGTATAACGTGGCTTAAACTTTTGACCGGAACAGTCTCCTTTGTCTGCCTGGTTGCAATGGGAAGCGGTGACTGATGCTTTCGAATCCCTCAGCCCACTGTCGGAAAAAAATTGCATGCGGCAATGTAATGCCCGCATTCCAAATAGGGATCACGAAAAAAAAAGCGGTTTCACAGTAAAGTTGCAAAAGTTGCAAAAGGGAAACAGATGCAGGTTTATTTATTATATTCGTTAAATTGCACCGAGCAAGGTACAAAGAAAGGAATCAAAACAATACGTTGCTTCTGGCCTCAATGGGTATCCTGTGAAGTGGCATTGATGGATACAGCCACCAAGGGACCTGTGATTTTAAGGCGTCTTTGGGTTCCATCCCGCTCTCCCAAAAGCAAATCCGCTCTTGGCGCAATAAATAAATGTGCCTCGCAAAGTTGCAACCTGTTTTTCTCGTGTATTGGGTATGCCTCGGCCACGCGCTTGCTGCTCAGTGTGTTGTGTCTCGTCACACGTACAATCAGGTGTATAATTAAATTAAAACATCATTTACAAGCACACCAAAGCATCATCCCAAACACGCTGTCCGTCCAACACAATTAGACCATAAACGGAGAATGCGGCACACAGCCCGGGGAAACACACTCCGGCACGACAGAGGAGGCGAGGTGCTGCACCGTGGCACAGAGAGACAGAGAGAGAGGAGAAGGCGGCGGAGAGGGCTGTGGAGGGAAGGGGCGCGTCAGTCCCGTGTCTGTTGTAGGTAGCTGGGTGCACGGAGGTGTAACTCATCGTCACGGTCATACAAACGCCTCGATTGATCGCATCATGACTTCGTCAGTCGCCCTGCGCGTTTCACGCCGTCGGTGCTGCTCTTGCGGGCCCGATTGAGACAGTCATGGCACAGAAATGATTATATACGGCCGCCGCCGCACCCACGGAGCACGCTCCACTCACGCGCGCACAGCACTCCTTCCCCTCCGCACAATGGCCGTGGGTTCTGAGGCGGCAGAGGTGCAGGCGAAGTGATCGTTGCAAGCACGGCGCCTGCGTTTTCGCTGGCCGTCAGCATCGGAGGCAGCACTCACACCGCAGAGGTGGTGGTGGCAGTGGGGTAAGAAACGAACGGCCGGTCCATCCCGCGAGAGGGCAGCCGAGCAAAACATCCTAAGCAACAAGAGAGGCAACAAAAAGAAGAAACAGGCAATCGGGCTAGACCCGCCTCCACTCCAAAGACACAACACAGCTACCGCCCCAGAGCGCTGACACATCCCCAGTGAGCCCAAAAAGAAGGAAGTAAAACACCCGCACATTCATTCGGTGTCCGTCCACAAAAAAGAAAAAAGAAAAAAAGAAAAAAGAAAAAAAGAAAAACCTATTATCAGGCGCCTCCGCCATCACCGAAAAAAGACTTCTTTCAAAATCCTCGGCGCGTTTTCACGGGATGTCGCAGTGCGCAATAATAATAAAAGAAAAATATTGGGAAATGGGGAATAAGTCAGTTCCCTTCGCTGTCGCTCCGCCAATGCGCCTCTGAAGACAAAGAAGCACTACAGCCAGAGGGGATGCATGACTTCAGCACCGGTCATTTCCAAAGCAAACGTCCCACACACACCTTACACAATGTCCTCCGCCGGGCGGTGAGGCCAATGAGAAATCACAGGCACTCTTGTAGCCGGGAGAGGGCGAAAAGAATTTGGCTCACCGCGGCAGAAAACAAAGCAATAAAAAACATAAAACTATAAATAAAAAAAGAAAAAAAAAGAAAAAAAGAAAAAAAGAAAAAAAAGGAAAGAAAAGAAAAGAAAAAAGGAAAGAAAATGTCCGAGCTCCTATAGCAAAAGGATTCCAAGAGAGGCCCATGGAGCAGGGGAGGTGCGGTGTCGGCAACAGGTACGGGTCAAGGTGCAACAATCACCGTGCCGATCACAATGAGGAGGAGAAGAAGCGGCGCAGAAGTGACCGCCAGAGCGCTGCCATCGTTATTTCTGGTCATCGCAAGGTGTTTCGGGTGGCTCTCCACGTCGGTGCTGCTCGCATCACTGTGCTTCAACATGGTGAGGCAGACATCGCTGAACAAGGGGCATCTTATGCTGCCCGCCGTGAATGGCGCCGGGGGCGTCAGCGTCTGACCCGGTGCACAGGGATGCCACTCCTCGCTGCCCCTGTACCGCACACTTAGCGTGCCCTCACCACACCTCAACTGCACGCACACGTCACCAACAACCGTACTGCCCATCCGGAGGTTCTCCCCAGTCAAGCAGCGCGAGGACGGGCCAACAACGCTCCCAGGCATGATGGCCTCGTCGCCATCCATGCACCCAGTGCCATTCATTGGCGCGATGAAGGGGCAGTACTCCATCATGGCCCCTCGCCTGGAGCCCTGCTTGGTGGCGAAGTACTGGAACTCCGGTGGGATGTTATCGTCCTGGTAAATTGCGCAGGTCCCCAGCGACTGGCGGTCAGACGTGCACCGCAGAGTGGCGTCGCTCGAGTCGGTGCAGAACATATCAGGGTACAGCGTGGCACCGTCCGTCACGCACTTGTCGGTCAGCAGCGCGCAGCCGGCTCCGCTGCCCCAGCTCATCGGCTCCGCCATCTCGAAGTTTGCCTTGTAGTAGCCGAGGTCGGTGAACAGCGCCATCGTGATCGCGGTGTAGTAGCCGGAAACAACGAAGCCCGCCATCAGCTCATCCTTCGCGTTCCGCCGCCCCCAGTGAGACATCAGGCCAAGCCACGAAGGCGGCCTCCACTGCTTCTCCACCACCGTGAGCGTGGTGCCCGTTGAGAGGGTTCCGTCCGCCGCTGCCTGCGTTGATGCGGAAATATGTTGGGCCGCACGCAGCTTGAGAGTTTGCTCCCTTCCTGCTCCCCCCACTGGACTCGCTGGTTGCCCAGCAACTCCTCTTCTTCCTCTTACACCTGGCCCAGCAACTCCTCCTCTTCCTCCTGGCGCCGCCGGATTCCGCATTGGTGGAAGCATTGGTGGACCACCCTCAATCCCTGTTCTGGGTCCACGTGTGGAAGATATATGCCTCCGTTGCCCCGTCCTTCGTTCTGCCTCTCTTTCTTCCTTTGTGACTATTCGAATCACTGGCCGATTTCGAACAGGTGGTGCTGCTGGCGCAGATGATTGTTGAGCTGCTGACGATGGTTGTGGTTTTGATGTTTGTGGTGGTTGCTCCGGTCCCTGTAGTGCCGCTGAACCCGGTGATGGCGCCGCCGGAGCCGATTGCGCAGATTGTGCTGGTGGTGTTACTGCGGAAGGTGCTGCTTCTGATCCTGACGGCTTCGGTGACACTTTTGCTGGTGCTCCTGGTGCTGATGGTGGTGGTGTTGCTTTCCCTCCTGGCGCCGCCGGATTCCGCATTGGCGGCACAAACTCCAGCTCCATGCCTGGCGCTGACTCGCAGCCGTAGTGGCGCCTTGCCTGCTCCAGCGTATTCCGGGAATTCACAACGTGGACACTGCTCCTCCCACGCACACCCACCTCCCGCTTCACCAGCGCCTGCTCCTCCATGTCCGCCACAATGAAGCCGAGGGCGTGCGCCATCTCGTGCACAGCCACGCGGATGTGCTGCGACGTGTTCGCAATGTGGCGCGGGTTGTAGTTGATGACGCCAACAACAGGACGCCCTCGCGGGCCCAACGTCGCGCACGGCATCGCCCACGCAAAGGTCGGCTTGAACGTCGGAACAGCAGTCGCGTACAGCACCATGTCCGCATCGGGCACCCCATCCGTGTGGTGCTCCTCCGGCACAGGAAACTTCCCGCAAACACTGCCCTCACGGAACCTCGGCACGACCAGCGGGCCATCCAGTGGCCGCACCAGCAGACGCTCGCTGTGCATCTTCGCCGCCTCGGAAAGAATCACGTTCTCGAGAATGTCCACCTTCTCCTCCGTCAGAATGTCCTCCTCCTGGCAGACCATCTCCTTGCCAAAAAACATGCTTATATGCTCCCCGGCCCTGGTGCAGAATCCCCCCAACCCCTCCAGGTCATCCGCAAACACCTTGATTCGGAGGGGCGCCCAGTCACTGCCCACGGACACAGTGACAGGACTGGCCGGCTCCTCCCCGCCCGTCACTTCGCCAACGTTCCGTGGCAGGCGATCAAACACGCAATGGTGCGGCACCGCAATGACGAGGCCGCCACCGGTGCACAGCAACAGGAGCAGCGCGCAGCAAAGCTGGCGGAGCTGGCGAAACATTGTGAGTAGCTTGTTTCTAGCGTTCAAAACTATTACTGCATGCACAGCGAAAGTGCGCACAAGACGGGAATAGAACAAACACACAAGAGAAATAAAATGGCAACAACACAAACAGGCACGCGCAGGACAAAAGCAGCAGTCGAGCACGGCGCAAATCCGTCGCAGTCCTCTTTGCACTCCACAGCTCTGTACCGCACAATCATTTTGCGCCCAGTTGCTGGCACACTCCGGTCCAAACGCCGCGGGATATCAATGGCTTTCGGTCGCAGTGGCGTGTGGTCCGCCTCCGCCAGCAGGAGTGTGTCGCCCTCCGCAACTCGGCAAGACTCCCCTCCGGAGGCTGTGCAATGGCAAAAAAAATGGGGGTGATAATGCCATCAGAGACGGGTACAGAGTGCACCTCACGCACAGGAGTCTGACGCTTTGTTAGGATAAAGAAGATCGGGACGCATCAAATGCACGGCAGAACCCCATATGAAACAAGGGGGCAAACAATGGCCAGCCACGGCTCCGCGGCAAACGGAGAATGCGGCACGCAGCCCGGGGAAACACACTCCGGCACGACAGAGGAGGCGAGGTGGTGCACCGTGGCACAGAGAGACAGAGAGAGAGGAGAAGGCGGCGGAGAGGGGTGTGGAGGGAAGGGGCGCGTCAGTCCCGTGTCTGTTGTAGGTAGCCGGGTGCACGGAGGTGTAACTCATCGTCACGGTCATACAAACGCCTCGATTGATCGCATCATGACTTCGTCAGTCGCCCTGCGCGTTTCACGCCGTCGGTGCTGCTCTTGCGGGCCCGATTGAGACAGTCGTAGCACAGAAATGATTATATACGGCCGCCGCCGCACCCACGGAGCACGCTCCACTCACGCGCGCACAGCACTCCTTCCCCTCCGCACAATGGCCGTGGGTTCTGAGGCGGCAGAGGTGCAGGCGAAGTGATCGTTGCAAGCACGGCGCCTGCGTTTTCGCTGGCGGGAGGGGAACAACAAAAAAGTGGGTGCGACTCAACATCTACGTGACGCACGCGTAGGGGAAAATAACACTTAGGGATGAACAGAAAAGGGGACAGATGCGCATCGACTTTTGTTCCTGCCTGTTGTGAAAGACGATGGCGTTGTGAGAAGTTAAAACGTATGCCTCGTCGGATTAGCAAATGCAGAGCAAAAATTCCCGTGCAAAAGGACTGAACTTTGTTGGGGCCCTCACAGACAAAAAAAAAAATTGAAAAAAAAAATGCAAAGACAACTAAATAAGAAATGTAAAACACGGTAGGTAAAAGTTCTCTCGCAAGTGGAGATGGCAACAGTGCGCCATGCAACGCAAACAATTATCTCCACCAAATGTTTTGTAGCTGTTGTTGTCAGGCTTATTCTTTTTGTTTTTTTTTTTTTTGTTTGCTGCTGTTTTCGTTTATTTGATCATTTTTTCTCCTCTTCATTTCTTCTTTCCTCTCATATCTGCGCTCTCTTCACGCCCCAAAGTCAGACTCGTCCACACCCATGGATGTCACATCCGCCGCGAGCTGTTCCAGCTCCGCCACCTTTTCCTCCGTGAAGGCGTTGACGGTTGTGTCCAGCTGCGCATTCAGCTCTCGCAGGGCGTTCTCTTCAATGCTGGCGTCCTGTAGCGCCTTGGACGCGTTCGTTCGCACGTGCTTTGTCTTCTGCTTAAATAAAGATATCACCTGATGTATTTCTTGCACCGCCTTGTCACGGCGGGCAGTCGTTACGGGTGGCATCACCACCTTGATCTTCTGCTGTTCCTTCGTCACCTGCAGCGTCCCGTCAAAACGTGTCACGCGCTGAAGGATGGGGCTCGCAAAGCTCGCGTTCTGGGGAACAATTTCAATTGTTGAGTTATTCGTCTTCACGACCTGCGCCACCTTCGTAAGGAGAACTTTGCGCCCACCGCCAACGTCGGCCTCCAGGAGCTCCAGGCACTTCGCCATGTTGAGCACTTTCATGGCGCTCACGTTCGCCCGCTCAAAGTGCTGCATGAATATTTGCTCCAGTTCATCCGGGACGTCCTCTTGAATGACTTTTTCCGCCTCCTGCAGCAGGTTCTCTCTAACTATCTTCTGCTCGCGGGACTTTCCCATGCGACGCTCGGCACGTTCATCAAATGTCAGGCGGCGCGACTCGCCGCGATCGCCGCGCCGCTGATCCTTTTGGCCAATACGAGTAGGAGAAAAGACAAGCGAACCGACGCATCGCGTGGCCGCAGTGGTGAGTAATTTGGGTTGGCAGCACCGCTGCTTCCACGCGGCACGGCCTCCAGAGACAAGAAGAGCTGGTAGAACCAAAGCAGACCGCATTTATTCCCTAAGAAAAACAGTAAAAAAAAAGGGAAAAGAAGGGGTCAAATATTTTTTTAAAGGTCAGAATGTCGGCAACAGCGCGCAGCTTCAGCGAAACGCCATCACTTCTCCAACATTTCCTCTCCGAAGGAGAGAAACAGACAATACACTCAAGTCCGTTCACTAAAGACGTGTTATTAATGTTTTCCATTCTTTTTTGTTTGTTTGTTTGTTTTTTTGTTTGTTCGGACCAGTCGACGCGAGTAAATGCATTAATTGAACGGCTGCGTTTGAGAACGTGGGCATTCTGAACCCGGTGTTTGTGTGTTTGTGTGTTTTAGGCCCTTCGCATGTCTGTTTATTTCATCCCGTGCAGGAATTGGGGAGAAGAAAAAAAAAAGGGGCGAGTCTCGTTTTTTTGCCGTCGCCTGTTCCCTCCCCGCTCCTGCTGCGTCTCCCTCACCCCGCCGGCTGCCCGCACTTGTGGTGCGCACGACCCTCCCCTCTCTCGTTGATGTTAAGTGAATCCCCTCCACGCGTGCTGGCCCCTTACATGCAAGGCACAACACCTCCACCCACAACCGGCGTTTCCTTCACAGCTTTACTTTTTTTTTTTTTTTTTACAAGGGGAGAGAGCCGCCTGATCTTGTTTGTTTGTTTGTTCGCCTCATGTTTTTCTTCCGCTTGATTTACCCCTCGGCGGCCCACTCGCCCCACTCGTCTTATTTATTTGTTTTCGTCTTCTCTCGTTTGCTCTTTTCTCCTCCTGCCCCGCACCAGCCATCCCCTTCTCTTTCTCTCCGCATTGGCTGCTAGACTCTTCGGCTTCGACAGAAGGCATTTGGTCAACTTCCAATGCGCATTTCCATGGGAAGCGCAACCACATGCACATGGAGAGACAATCTCCCTTCTCTCTTGTTTTCTCTCCTTACCAGCGGCGTCGGTTGTTTCGGCTCCTTTTCTTCTCGGCGAGAGCAGCGGCGGCGGCACGTTCCTGCGTCACGGAGTGTGGCGCATAAAACACAGAGAAAACATCGCCCAGTAGAGGCCGCAGCAATTCGCTGATATCCATCATGAGCTCAGCGCTTTGTTCCGTGACCCACACCTCGAGCAGGTACGCGCGCTCGCGTGCTTTGAGGGCCACGCCGTTGACGGTATCACGCACAGACTTCGACCACGACTCCCCAATGGTGCGGCACAACAAATACACCCACGCATCATTGATGCAATGGGAATCTAATTTCATCTTCAGGATGCCACCGTCTCGATTGCCAGGGTCTTCCCACTTTGGATTGATCCCGTCACGAAAAAAGTACAACGTGCCGATCTTCATTTCTGTCGGCTGAGGAATATTATTGAACACCTTCCAGAAGGTCGCAACAGAATCCACGCGAAACACAAGCGTTGGATCGTATGTGTTTTCCCGAATGCACTCGCCAAGCCCAGCAGGCAGGTAGAAGAGACACCACAAATCACCTAGTGTCATTTCGCCCGTCGCTGGCGTGAGAGAGAACGGAGATGGCTTGGCGATCATCACGCGGTTCAGCGTACGGCGTGGCACAAAAGCCGCCGCCCCAACTTTAAGTGAACTGCGTTTGCTAATCTCTAAAATCTCTTCCTCCGTTTTCTCAACATAAATCGGGGCAAAAGTCGGTGTAAAATTGGCCTTCACTGCCAGTGGCAAAGCTGGCTGTGTGATGTTTTTCCTCGTCGATGTGGTCGTCCATTTCATGCTGGATGATAAATGGCTCTCTTGCTTCTGTTGCCGTTCCTTTTCCTCCGCAAGATCAGCTGTCGACGTCGGCAGGGGAGCCAGCGAATTAGCACCAGTCAGATGTGGAACAAAGTCAGTTGCGTTTGGATTCATGGAGATTGACACAGAAGGAAAGGGTGCGTGCATGGGACTCATACGAGTTGGAAGACGAAGCGCTGTCGTTGGGCTGCACAAGGGCAAGCCAGCCGCCGCACGTGGGGAAGAAGTGAAATTTTGAGCGTTGATCCCGGTGCAGCCACTATGCGTCGTCATAACGTTGCTTGTTGGTACGGATGTCGCAAATCCATTCTTGTTTGTCGACGTAGCGGCGGGGTTCACGCCAGAGGACCGCTTGTTAGCCCATGAAGGAATGTACTCCTTCACGTCCGCCTTCAGAACGGAGCTCATCTGGGCGTTGTCTGAGCCTGTGGTAGTGTGCAGGAAATAAACACGTCGGCTCGGGTTGAAGCAGCAGCCACCTTCTCCTGGGTTCCCTGTCTCTCTCGGAATCACAGGCACAGACGCACGACGATACTTCTGCGGGGCCCTCGTTGTGTGTGTTTTTGCCTGCCTCCTTTTCCCTTTTTCTTTTTTTTTTTCTAATTTCTCCCCGCTTCACTTTTTACTTTTCGTTTGTTTGTTTGTTTGCGGGTTTCGCCCTCTTCGGCTGCTGCGGTGTTTTTGGGAGGGACGACACGAAAGGGGGTGAACTCTCCGCCTCGTGCAGCCACGCGTGTCTAAACGGGGAGGGGGAGAGGCGTCGATGTTTGCTTCCGCGTTATTGGAGTCGACTGTCTTTCCCCTGCGCGGGGACAACAAAAAAAAAAGGGCAGAGAAAAAAAAACGCAGGGCGGTGGAGGCGCTCAAGGCGTGCAGCTCCGCGCGCGAAGTTGCCGACAAACGTATGAAGAACAGGGGAAAAAAAAAAAGCGGAAAAAACGTGAGTATTAAATGGTGGCAAAACAATGGGACGGCAAACTCAGCAGGCTACACCTCTCAACCCCCCGCCTCCGCCTCATATCACAATCACAAGCATGAGGATCCGCCACCACCGTCTCCGTGGCTGCCTGCTTGTTATTTTTTATTTAAATTGCCGTCGTGCTGTCAACCCCTTAAACACACTGAGAGAAAAAGAGAGAGAGAAACCCCCGGTCCACCTTCTATAGGATGGGCAGGGAGGTAAAACGAAAAAGTAACCGACAGCGAGGGGCAAAGAACTCACGGCGTCACGCGCTGCGGATCACGCGGGAACAGCGAGACGAGGCGCACATTGCTGAGACCAAGATATAACATAACCACACGCTCGAGGCCAACGCCAAATCCGCCGTGGGGCCATGCACCGAGACGAAATGAGTCCACGTAGTCTTTAATGGGCGAGAGATCAACACCGAGTGACTGCGCGCGCTTCAGCAAAAGTGATGAATCGTGAATACGCTGCGCCCCACTCGATATTTCCTCACCGCGGATAAACATGTCGTACGAGTTCGTGAAACGCTCATCGTCTGGAAACGGCATCGTGTAGAATGGTCGTGCAGCCGTTGGGAATAGATCGGAGATGAAGAAGTCCACGCCGTAGCGCTCCTTCACCAACTTACCGAGCAATTTCTCATTGGTGGTGTTAATGTCATCGGTCAAAGACAACTTCTCCTCCAGAACGGTGTTCAGGAGTGCGATGCAGTGCGGGTAGTGGATGCGTAACATACGAGTTCCCATGTTGCGTACACGAGCCTTGTAAATATCGGTCGGCTCAACAGAGTCTTCAATGACGCCAACGCCCAACTCTTTGATTTTCTCCGGTGTCAATTGCCACAGCAATGGCTCAAAAGGGTACTGACGGCAAATCGCCTCAAGCTCTCCTGTATGTTTGGCAAGTTGTGCAAACATGTAACAAAATAGCTCCTCAGCCGTGTCAAGTACCTCATAATAGTGTTCATTTATACGCATTTCCACATCTAGGCCAACAAATTCCGTCAGGTGGCGGTGGGTATTGCTGTTTTCTGCACG